GCGGTTGTGCGGCGGCGTTGCTTACTGGGCGAAGTTGTGATTTGCGGGCTTCACGTTTCGCTTTGGCGGCAGCGATGCGGTTGGCTTCGTATATCGCAGCGCCTGTCTTCACTGTCCTCCTCCAGGTCGGTCGATCGAGTGTGAGCTCCTCCCAGTTGGTGGGGTTGATTTGTAGGCATTTCAGGGATGAATTCAGGGTATCCTTGTAACGGCGAATCTGGCCTCCTTGACGGCGAGAACCCGTCGCGACGTCTCCATAGAAGAGTCGTTTGGGTAGTCGCTCGTCGTCCATGCGCACCAGGTGGCCGCTCCAGCGCAGCTGAATTTGCCTCAGTATGGCGTAGATGCTGAGGATTCCCGTCCGTTCCAGCACATCAGTGGCGGGGATTCGATCCTGCCACTTTAGCCTCAGGATGCGACGAAGACAACTGAGGTGGAAGTGGTTCAGACGACGTGCCTGCTCTGCGTACACCGTCCAAGTCTCCGCTCCATACAGTAGTGTCGGCAGGATGACGGCCTTGTACATCTTCAGCTTCGTGCTCAGCTGAAGACCGTGGCGATTCCAAACTGTGCTTTGGAGGCGACCGTAGGCTTGACTGGCTTTCGAGATCCTGTTGGCGACTTCGTCGTCTATCTTGGTGTTGCGGGAGAGAGTACTGCCCAGGTACGGGAAGTTCTCCACCACCTGCAGTTGGGTTCCGTTCACGCTGATTTGCGGCGGCGCTTTGGGGGCTGTGGCTGAGTTGGGTGGCGGTTGGTGCATCACCACCGTCTTCTGCGTGTTAATGACCAGACCGAAGTTCTCGCAGACGGCGGAGAACAGGTCCATGCTCCGTTGCATCTCCTCTTTCGAGGTGGTGTTCAGGGCGCAGTCGTCGGCGAAGAGGAGTTCGTGAACGGTGGTTGTGGATACGCGAGATTGGAAGTTCATGCGCCGTTGATTCAGGAGATGACCGTCCGTCCTGTAGGCGATGCGGATCCCGGGGCGTTCGTCGCGGTAGGCGTCCATCAGCATGGCAGAGAACATAAGACTGAAGAGAGTAGGCGCCAGCACACAGCCCTGCTTCACGCCGTTGGTCACTGCGAATGCCTCTGAGACAGCTCCGTTGTCCGTGACTCGCGCCATCATACCGTCGTGCAGCTGACGCACCATCTGAACGAATCGCTTGGAACAGCCGAATTTCTGCATGATCTTCCACAGTCCTTCACGATTCACCGTGTCGAAGGCTTTCGTCAGGTCCAGGAACGTAGAGTACAGGTGGGTCCGCATCTCCTGACACTTCTCCTGAAGTTGACGGGCGGCGAAGATCATATCCGTGGTCCCACGATGACGACGGAAGCCGCATTGGCTTTCCGGCAGAAGGCCCTGTTCCAGATGATTATTGAGGCGGTTGAGCAGGATGCGAGCGAAGATCTTCCCAGCGATGTTCAGTAGGGAGATGCCGCGGTGATTGTCGCAGACTTGGCGATTCCCTTTGCGCTTGTAGAGATGCACGATGGTTGCGTCTTTGAAATCTTGCGGGACTTCACCTTGACGCCACATCTCTTGGAAGAGCGCAGTCAGGTGATCCATCAGTTGGGGACCTCCGTGCTTGTAGACCTCAGCATGGATTGCGCCCGATCCGGGTGCTTTCCCGCTAGAGAGCTGTTGCACGGTCCTGATGGTCTCCTGGAGAGATGGCGGGAGGTCGAGGTCCACGTTGGTCTCCACTTGCGGCAAGCGGGCGATGGCGGCGTCGGAGATGACGGAGGGGCGGTTGAGGACGCCTCGGAAATGCTCGGCCCATCGCTGCAGGATTTGCGTCTTCTCAGTCAGGAGAGTGCTTCCGTCGGCGCTGAGGAGAGGAGCGGTGCCCTTCGTCGGCGGACCGTAGACAGCTTTGATCGCAGAGAAGAAGTTCTTCCATTCGTTGCGGTCCGCGTACCCTTGGATCTCATTAGCTTTGCGAGCAGTTCAGGCGTCCTGCATCTCGCGCAGTCGTTGCTGGAGCTGTCGGTGACTGCGGTAGAAGGCAGCTTTGGTGGCATCAGTGGGGTGATCAACGTAGGCTTTGTGTAGGCGGTTCTTCTCAGCAAGCAGATTTCTGATGGTGGCGTCGTTGCCGTCGAACCAGTCCTGGTGTTGGAGGGGAGCGCGACCGAGGACGGCGAGCGCCGTCGACTGGACCGTGTCTCGCAGTTGACACCAGCGGTTCTCCACGGAGGCGTTCTCGGCAGTGGCGGGGTCGTCGTCGGCGGCAGCGATAGGAAGGTTGTCTAGCCTTTGAGCTAGCTCATTGCTGAAATGAAGATGGTGGGCGGGCAAAGACAACAAAGCAACATTCAGCTTACCTGGGGGTCGCTTACCTTGTGGTCTCCTGCGAGGCTGTAGGCGAATACTCATCTTCGAGATGACGAGGCGATGGTCGGTCCACCCGTCAGCACCCGCGATCGCCTTCGTCACCAGCACGTCCTGCTGATCTCGTCTCCGGACGAGGACATAGTCCAGCAGGTGCCACTGGCGCGACCGAGGATGCCTCCAGGTGGCCTTCTCTCGCTCCGGCAAACAGAAGGTTTTCGTCAGGATGAGGCGGTGTTCTGCGCAGATGCGGAGAAGCAGCAGGCCGTTGTCGTTGGAGCCGCGGAGACCGTGGGGACCCAGCACTCCCCTCTCGGCAGTATGGTCTGTGCCGACGCGGGTGTTGAAGTCCCCAAGGACAATCAACTTGTCCGCCTTCGACACAGTCGCCAAGAGGGCGTGCAGGTCCTCGTAGAATTTGTCTCTGACGGCGTCGGGGTTGGTCATCGTCGGAGCGTAGGCGCTGATGATGGTGGCGAATTTGCCTCCCCAGAGAGGCAGACGGAGGCTCATCAGGCGATCGTTGATGCCCTGCGGCAAGCAGGGCAGTCGTCCCACGATGTCGTTCCGAATGGCGAAGGCGACACCCGCGTCCCGTCGCTCTGCCCTGGGTCGACAGCTCCAGAAGAAGGTGTAGCCGGCACCCTCCTCCTCCAGTTGGCCTTGTTCGGAGAAACGGGTCTCGCGTAGTGCGGCGATGTCCATCTTGTAGCGCGCCAGTTCGCGTGCCACTAGCGCCGTCCTCCGTTCCGGTCGGTTGCTCCTCGGATTGTCTAAAAGGGAACGAACATTCCAGGCTGCCAGAGTGAGCGGGGTCACCCTGCCAGTCTGGTGACAACGAGTGGGGCGACGGGAAGGAGATGGAGAAGAAGGTGACGAAGGAGAAGAATAGGCAGAGGAAGAGGAAGAAGAGGTAGGATGAGGAGAATGAGTATGGTTGTTGTTATTGGTGTTGTTGTTATTTCGATTTTGATTGTTTCGACCATGATAAGACGTCTGCGGCCCTGGTTAGCCTGGAGACGGCGTGGTACCCAGCAATGTTTAGGCCACCTTTTCTAGGCCCTTCCCCTCGTGGGGGCTGGCAGTGCCATCCCTGAATAGGGCTGCCATGTGCCGTTGTGGCACGGCCGAACTCCACTATGGGACCACGACCTCGGGTTGTAGTGGAGAGCGACTCGAATTCGCCGTAAGCCCCAGCCCCCGACGGCGTAGGTGGGCGCGTCAAGGCGATGTCGATGTGGAGATCCATCCGGTCACCGGCTGTCCAGCGTCGTGCAGAGACGAACCACGTAACGACGGTGCCGACGCAAGGTTCCATCCGACCTTCCATCCAGCGGAATCCGCAAACCCTGTGCACACGGCACAGCGCACAGGGCCCCCTCACCTGGTTTAGCCCGCCGGTTGAGACGGGTGCCCGGGGTGTGGCCGCTGAGCAGAGCCCAGCTACGTGGAGCCACAGGTGAGAGTTGAGTGCCAGCAAGTGGACGCTAGGCGCAGTCTCACCTGCAAGCAAGTGAGCGACCACCACGACCATTACGTGAACCCACCGCTGACACCGCTGCTCGAAATAGTAAGGGCGTATAAAGCTGACAGTGCATATAAAGACTCTTATGTGGGCAAGTCAGGCAACAACTGGGAGATGACATAAGCAATACTAATTCATGGAACGTGAAGGTGGGACTAAAATTATGCTCTAGACGCACGAATAGCATCAACAGGATACAGTTATAAGCTGACTAGAAATGCTATAGCTTTCGGACGTCCACTTCCTCACTACGTTGTATAATATTGGGAAGCGAGCACGTTCACTGACGAAGACAATGCGTTTAGATGGAGAAATTGGGCATAACGCGCTCATTTGTTTGCCACTTTATCATGGGCGTGCGTGTTTTCATACGACATTTTACTTTCCGACCAATTCGGCTAATAACAAACGAAGAACAGAACGACCGTGACCGTCGAGTCGGTAAGGGACGCATGATCCCGTGGTTGAGGACGACGCCTAATCTTTAGAGGAGATGTCTAGTTAGCTCTAAGTACTTTTTGATCTGTGATGCCGCATCAGCGGCCCAGCTCAGTCTACATTAAAAATCGCATGTCTCCAGTGCGTATAATCGCGCATCAGTAAAATAATTAGATGTGTCGAGCATTTGAATGGAGGTTTAGTATCGGTCACACAGCTGAAAACGTAAGTTAAACACGACGCCAAATAAACCTCTAGCGGCGATGATCCAAAGAAATTGGCAGCAGGACCTCTACTCGATTCATACTTAACGTCGAGACAGTTAAGGCCTGTTCAGCCGCTTATAGGCTAATGAGAATAACAGAAAGTACAGAGTTAGATGAACTGTGGGGTCACCGTGTGACAACGACATCGTTATGGGCAAGATAAAGCGCAATGGTCTTATTTATATATAGAGCTCAAACGCAAGCCACCCTAATTAAAAGAATTACCCTTCAATGCAGGCAAAAACAAAGCACATGTGCCGGTGGTAGCGACCCTCGAGGCGTGATCACGCCTGCGGTTAGTTGTTTATGACATTTTGTGAATGTTGTCGTTGCACTACAGAAAGAACGTACAACGCAGCAGAACTTATCTTCATCATTTCCACAAAAAGCCTTCCAATTAATCGGGCAAAGGATGCCTTACCAATGCACGCCAGCCCAAATTGTGTGTATGAATTCACATGCACTTGCAGATGCAAGTACATTGGGCGAACGCAAAGGCAATTGGCAACCAGGGTCGCTGAGCATTTGCCTAATTGGCTTTTCAAACAGGAAAACAAAGCCCCCTGTTCGTCTATAACGAAACACCTGTTAGATAGCGGTCATGTTGTCGACCCTAAAACATCTTTTCGAGTACTTGTCCGAGCGCATACAACTCGAACCCTGCGTTAGTTGGAAGCAGCTTACATACGGAGGGAGAAACCAGACCTGTGCAAGCAGCTAGATCACGTGATCAATCTGCAATTGCCCTGGTAATCTCACGCCCCTAGTTTCCTCTGACTGTGATTTGTTGTTAACATTTCGTCTCCCTCTTTCTAATATGATGCTTATTTGGACGTCTTATCTGATTATTCATTACCTTGAACCTTGAATTTGCTCTTATGCACTGCCTTTCTGTACAAATTCATACTGCTGTGCGCTTTTATTTGTTACCTATGTTATGCAGAGACGGGCTGTAGTTGAAAAGCCGTCAGGAAATTTATTGGGCCCAATAAATTCTACTGGACATGTTTGTTTTCAATTCATACCCGGGAAGAAATGCTTCAAAAGAACATCTTCCAGCCCGATCCTCGCGCACATGGTAGACACAGACCACCGCGTAGACGCCAGAGAGGCCTTCAGAGTGATTTACAAGGTCCCATCAAGCTATCCAACACTACTTGGGCAGCGCTTGTTGGCTACGGCAGAGGCGACTGCAATCAGGCTACACGGACCGGTCCTATGCGCACAGGAGAACTTCATAGAGGTCCCACGGTTACCATGGCCCAAAGCCACCAAGCCAGCTACCCGCATGTAATTACATTCGCCGGGACCCGCCTTCTCCATGGCGCTGACTGGAATTGTGGTTCTTCACTCTCTCCCTCCCCTTCCCAAACTCGACCTACAGCTTAATTATCTACTTACCCGTATCTTTTAATGCATTACTTCAATAGCCAGATAAATGTACAGGCCTGAAGAGAATTTATCGAAAGCAGACGTATGCTCGCTAAATTGCCTTTTGAATTTTACAATGCGAATTTTCGCAATGCTAATTTTGCCGGCAATACCATTCTGCCTATATATCATGCGCCGCTGTGCGGCTGCTGGTTGGGCTCGAGAGAGAGAGTCCATAAGGCACAACGGAACGAGTGAGTTCCGTATGAACGATCGGTGAGCGCCCCCTAACATTTCGCAACTGTCTCTAAATAGTACGGCAACATAGAGTGAGTGACTTAGTTCACCAAGTATGCGTAAATTCACTAAAAATTTCTAACCAATCGAAAACCAGCCCCAAATGAACCCA